ACGGCTAAAAGGGCGAGCATGTTTGGTGTGACAGGGTAGTCATGTTTTATACTTGTTATGTGTTATGCTTCTAACTTAAAATAAATTAAAAACATCTGTAGTCATTTTATTGTTCTGATAATTAACAACACACCTGCTACCTGTGGTGTTTAGTTCACGTGTCAGCAATTCTCGTGCTCCATCCTGGTTGAAGATGACAGCTTTTCCTCCTCCTAAAGCTCCACACTGGAATCCTAGTTCAGCTCCATGAATCTGTAAAGATGGATGCAAAGTTGTTATAGTTGCTTGAAGGTTTTATGGTAAAAATCCACATAGGCTACCTGTGCCAAATTAAACTTTTTTATATACTGTTATTTTAAAAGTAAAAAATACACATATCAGATGATAATTTTTGTTAAAAAGGTTAGTAAATTATATAGTTAAAAAGGCATATGGCTTGTACAAAAATTTAAAACATAGTCAGAATAGACAATATCATCATAACCAACGACATAATAAAACACGTCTGAAATGGTCATTGATGTACAGTACGATGATGACATGACTGTGCAATACTACTCACACATTGATGGGTCACTCCTTTGTATGAAATAATTATGAGTAATAAAGCTGCACCCAAAGTGGGGCTTTGCAAGGAGAACTTCCTTCTTCTAAACTGTTCCTGCACAAACTAGATAGTCAAAGACTGATTGTAGGTCTTATATGGTAAAGCTTATTCATACATCACTCACCCCAAATAGCTTGCCATTGTAATGAAGCCTTGCCTTGATGACAGGCTGGTAATCCATATAAGGAATAAAGCAAACCAGTTATATTGCCATTGAAGGTTGATTTGGCCACAGTTTTAGTGGATATTGACATGGCCAGGAATTGAGAAAAGTGGACAGAAAAACAAACAATAGTGAGAAATGGGCCAGTTTTTCTAAATAACCTAGAAAGTCAGTGAGAACTCGTATTAAGCAATTCCAAGACCTTCAAAGAGTTGAGTGAGTTGGTACAGATAGTACAATTACCGTTAAAGAGTAGTTATTACTTCCAGTGAACAGTATCTGATTTCATCAGGTTATTCAACAAAATATCATAGTGGTAATCATTATAAGTCATTGAGGAATGGGCTGATCATCTGACTCAATAATGTCATCCAATGCCAGACCCCTCTCAGTAAACTTTGCCTGTATACTGTCACGTTTTATGTATGGGTCAGATTCTTTACAGTAGGTGTCTGTCACTAAATGATGATAAATTTCTACAAGAAACAGCACACAGTTCACTTGTTTTAAATTTATATATTAAAACAAGTCAAATGTATATACAAACATTTGTTACACTGTTGGTTATCACAATTGTATCCAGAGCTTTAGATAACTATCTCGTTTTCGTCAAAGTGCTCACAGGCTGGTTCAGTTACTTTTGAACACAATTTGACAAGAAAAATTGTTTTTCAAACTCATTATTATACAGTCTTTGATAATTTCACTTTAAAATCACCACAATAACTGTTGGTTACCACAGTTGTATTCAGAGCTTTAAATAATTGTATTTTTTTCATCAAAGTCCACACAGACTGATTCAATTACTTTAGAACAAAATTGACAAGACAAATTATCATTTTCTACTCTGTTGTTACAATACAGTCTGTGATAATTTCACTTGAAAAAATCGCCACTATACACTCTTTATTTCTAAATAATCACAATCATACATGTCTGGATCTAAATAATAATCTTTCAATGCATATTTATACCCCAAAAGAAGTCTAAACATTCCACACAATACTAGATATTCTGAAGAAATAATACTCAATTAAAACAATGAGAAAAATTCAAAAAGTTCTAGTAACATGATGCAACAATAAAACAATCACTAACTCGTAACAATTGAATGTACACACTACACAATGTATGATTTGCAAACAATTACATAAAAAACTTGCCATAAACTCTCACTTCTAAAAAATAATTAAATATGACACCTATGCTATATAAACTATCCAAATCATAACTTTTGCATTAATCTTAAACTGAAACAGTTCTGTATATCTAATAGCTACATGTGGTTTTGAGCATAAGCAAGCTTCATCATGTCACAGAAATAGAACTATAAGATGATTGTGGGTTTGAGATATAAGCATTTTTGTAGGTTTTTATTTTTTGTACATTGAAGGAGCTGAGAGCTGTACTAATCTTAAACCCATATGAAAATTACCAGCTACATGAGTTAGAGTCTGGCTCGCGAGACTACACAGTATACGATATATAAGCTAGACCTAGAACTATTTTTGATGAAGAACTTCATCAATGGAAGAAAAGATGTCTTTCTATACCTCTCCAGAACAGGCCCCAGATACTGATTGACTGCTTAAAAGCATGCTTCAGTTTACCAAATATCTTTATGTTACTCAAACTCTTTGCCACACTGCCACTAAGTTCAGGTTCCTATGAATGTTCCGCATATGCTCTATGCAGGTTAAATAATTACTTGAGGTGTACATAAACCAAAGAAAAACCGAGTGCTCTAGCTTTAATACATAATCATTGTGTCACTGCTATCAACATTAAAACTATATGCAAGTTATTTAAGGAAAAGCACCCCAGAAATATGGAGCATGCTCACATATTGTTTCAGTAGTGCATGCATGCACGTATATGATAATGAATGATTGAAATAGCTAATATACGACTGTTTTACAGAGTTGTTTAAATTAGTAATATAACTTAATAATTAATAACTATTCTGCATGTACATAGTACAGTACTTTACTATAATAAAACACACATTTATGCTAACTTAAGTCTACCTTCCCATGCAGTGTTACAAGAGAATGACGATTTGTTGACTTTCCAGTGGATGTTTGTGAAGTTTATATGAACAGCCATGCAATTGTTTAAGCTATATTTCATGCCAAATTGCTTCCAGGTTTAATCTCACAGCACCTAGTTTTTTACAAATTTTCTTGGGGAGGGAGGTCGACATGCCTCCAGACTCCCATAGCATTAACATTCTTTACATGCTGATTGTACTTTGCACAATAAGTGTTGGCTTTTGAGCTCACAAATTAGAACCCCCTTTCATACATCCTGTGAATGAGCCTGAAACTTGCCCTATGTTTTGTAAAACAAAATCTAAATAACTTCTGAATTTATAAACTTCAAAATTGTATCCAAATAATGAACAATGGGTAAAAAATCCTGTTATAATCATGAAACAGGTCTAACATCTATGTAAAGATTTGGTAGATGTCTAAATTCAATCAAGCTTTAGTTAAGATGTATAAGCAAGTTATTCTTTTAAGTGATTTTTTAAAATGATTATTCACAAAAATATTCAAAATACTGAAATAAAAATATATTTTATTTTTCTTGAAGTATATATAAATATATATATATCTTTATCAATAAAATGATCAGAAAATGCAGCCACATAGCACTTCATTGATTACAAAAACTTTACATACTGTAGTATAAGTACTTACATTGAAATTCAAAAACAGATGTATGATGAATAGATCTAGTAGTAACTGACATGAGTTTCATGTTACATATTTTTTTAAATACCTTTATTACACTTGGTGTAGGTTGTAAGGTTGGAGTAGAAAATGTCTCAGAAATTTCAGCTGGAAATTGGACTGCTGGAACTTCACAACTGTTTCCAGAAAAGCCAAAGTCACACCTGAAAAGGTTGTCAAATAATGTTACAAAGCTAATTTATGTAAGATAATAAAAAAAAGAGTAGATAACAAAAAAAAATATTTTGTCATATATTCTATAAACTTCAAAATATACTTCTGTTTTAAAATTCAGACCACATTTGAAGTAAGTATCTTTCTGAAGAAACTTTTTATTTTGGGACACTAGTACAACTGAATCTACATATACAGTCTCTCAGGAAGCCATGGGTTTATTGACTTTTAATCAGTTTAATAATGGCTGGAGATGGCTTGAATGGGTAATGAAGAAAAACTTTAATATAAGTTTAACATAACAGCAAATGTACAACGTTTCGACAAGGTTTTGTCATCATTATCTTATCCAGCTCCACACAATTTTAAAAATCAGACTGAAGAGTGGATATCTGCAGAAAGGCATAAAAAATAACTGAGAAAATAAAGAATGGATATTAGCAGAAAGAAGCCTATAAAAATAAATGAGAGAAGACATCAAGCATAGTAGGTAATGAATTCTTGACAGTTTGTCTATCATGCAATGCTCCTGCAATTGTTGAAACATCAGCAAAATATGTTCTAACTGAATTACCATGTTAATGTCCTATATACTTAGATGAAATAACAGCCCATGTAAAAACATTTAATGATAACTGTGATGATCTGCAGGTTCCTAGCAGGTTAGTAAAATAAATCTTAAAACTTAACTCAAAGATATGCAAATGATGTTATGAATAAGTGTACTTTCTGAGATAGTTAGTGGGAAAATGATGGTTACAGACCTAATAATGTTGAGTACAGAACCTTGTAACATTAACATGCATCCATGGTGTTGGAGAAACAAAACAACTTCTGATGAATAATAAAAATTCAATGATCTTAGAAAAAAATATGAAAAGAAGAAAATCACAGCCTATATGAGTAAATCTATAAATTTCCCACAAAAAAAAACAATACTATTTGAAGGCTACCTAGGAAAATAGAATATTAGTTTCTACATGGTTAAATCCATAAACTTTCAACAATAAACATACAAAAATTACTTGAAATCTGTCCAGAAAAGTAGAAAATTATGGAATACATGAGTAAATCCATAAACTCCCAATAAGAAACATACAATATTACTTGAGAGCTGTCAAGGAAAGGAGAATATTACTGTTCACATGAATAAATCCATAAGTTCTGCACAAGAAACACGACAATAACTGAAAGCTGCCCAGAAAAGGAAATATTACTGTCCACATGAGTAAATCCATAAGTTCCCCACAAGAAACAAGATACTTGAAAACTGTCCAGGAAAGTAAATATTACTTGAAAGCTGCCTAAATTGTAAATCACTGCCAAGCAAGTTCTCAAATTATTCAAAATGTTAATTTATATATGTGTATATGAATTTTTACAAAAAATTTATAGAATGATCAATAGCTTTTAAAAGCAATTAACTCAGTAATAAAATTTCAAAAAGGGTTATTTACAACAAGGGAAGAGAGTACACAATCATCATTATTTGAAAACATAAATTATTCACACAAAAAATTATTTATATTAATTTTCTATTTGGCACTTATACATTTGCACACATAACATTGTACATCTCAGAACTCAAATTCATAAAATTAACAAAACTTCTTCATTTCTACTTATTCATAACAGGCTTCTAGTTTGACAACTGTAAACAACAGATATATTACTTACATACAGCCAGTCTTGGAACATTTTCCATGCCCTAAACATCCATTTGGACAGTAACCTATGAACACTGTAACAAAAAAAACACAATAGTGTGCAACAACTTCCTTTTTTTCATGTTCACTGCAAAGTTTGTGTTTACATTATGTTGGTATAGTCTATGAAATCATGAGCAAAAGCAAAGGAAAATATATTATGTCAACCATACTACATCCTCCATATTTAGTGCTGATGAAACATTTTGCTCAACACCAGAACCCATCAGGCCATCTGTGATATGACAAACATAGTAGTGGCCTAGGTGCTATATATATTATCATGAACACCAACAGTTTAGGTATGAGCAAATTAAGCAAGTGAATTGTAATTATTATCATTTTTATTTAATTCATTTACAAATCAGATGTTTAGGAAAGAATTAATAGCACATTATTAATTTTATTTTAGTATTTGCTTACACTGATGATATATTTATTTTTATTATTTTATTTGAATTAACTTTACTATCATTCACAAGAACTGGCACACTAGTTAGTTAGTCTTCTCCTGAAGTGGATCAACTAACCACAGCTTCAACAGTAGAAAACTACATAAATAATTCTAAGAAACCAAGAGAGACAGCAAAGCAAAATTTAATATGTCAACAACACTACATCTGCCATAACCATTGCCAGTGAGGCCTTTTGCTCAAAATCAGCTTTCTAATGATACACAAGAAAACTGATTAAAGTTTCATGAAAATTTCCTTTCACTATATTAGCTCTAATTTTTTTATAATTTAAAACCATGAACTTTTCATTTAAGCAAATATTAATAATTAAAATTTACTATTTTAACATAATATTTTCATATCACATTTTATAGATCTTATAACAAAAAGATTTTCAATAGTTAAAAGATAAACAAAATCATACTAAGAACATGAAGACAACTTTTCTTCACTTTAAACTAGTAAAACATTTTACATATGTAATTGTTAGAGTAATACTAACCATCATCAACTGCCCAGTTTGAACTTTCAAATTTTCCCATTTGACGAACACGAAATCTTATTGTATTTCCTAAAGCAGGATAAGGCAGTGGAAAGGTGACACGGGTCCAGCTGAATAAAGAAACAGCAAAATTTCTTGATGAACACGAGCAGTAAAATATGCATTATTGGTTATTTTGAAAATGAAATAGTTTTTAATAACCTCCAATATGAACAATACATATCAGAAAGTACAGTTATGATGGGAAAACATAATAATGATTCAACTAATGTATAAAACTAGATAACATTTTAATAGCTAGCTAGATAAATTCCTGTCCTTGCTGTGGTTTAGGGATGTGTGTATGTGCCAGTAAACATGAAATAAGACATTAAAACCTTTTGATCATATATCGAATGTCCACAAATTAATTTTCAACATAACAAGCTTTATTAATTTTGAAGAATTATAAATTTGTGCATGTTAGATATACATGACTGTTTCACTTAAATTTAATACAAGAGTATTATTTAGTTTATATTGTGTGAGTGTTAAAGTACGTTATTTTAAAAGCAATAGTTATGGCAAGTTTGCTTAGGTAACTGTTTACGAATCATTTGTTGTGTAGTTCAATTGTTGTGAATTGACATCACGTTATCTGAACATTCTGAATTTTTCTCATTGTTTTAAGTAGTTTGCTTGTGGTTTGTAGAAAGTTCTAGGCCTCAGTCAGGCAATATATATAGCCAACCAAGTAAGTGCAAGAAAGGAAGTTAAGTGAAGTTAGACAGCATGTGAGTTTAGCCATAACAGGCTATTTCTAAAGTGAGTTTCACAACTTTTATTGTAATAACAGAGATAGAGGAGGATAATTTGTCTTGTCAAAGGGTGTTCTAAAGTGATTGAATGCACCTGTGTGGACTTTGACAAAAAAAAAGAGACAATTATCTAAAGCTCTGGATACAACTGTGAGTGTAATGAAATTTTGTACATATATTTTACTTGGTTGAATATATTATTCTAATACAAGTGGATTGTGTGCTGTTTGTTTATTGTTGAAATTTATTGCCAACAAGTTATAGACACCTACTGTAAAGAATATGGCCTTCAACAAAACCTGACAGTACAAAAGTTTTGTAGGTACATCTATATAGTTAGTAAAGGTGGTATGCTTTTGTGGGGATGAAGTTATAAGTAGGTCATTAGGGCTAAATGCTAGGCTTAGGTTAGTATGTAAGGATGAGCAGATTGGCTATATGGACTTGTGGGATCAGTTCAGTGGGAGAAGGAGCTTTTTGCAATGGATGGTTTACATTTAAATAGAGTAGGGGCTGGCTTGTTTGCTATGGCTATTAACTCAGCTGTAAGGAAAGTTTTAAACTAGGACTGAACAGTGGTGAGGTCCAGGAAAACCGAATGAAAAAGAATAAAAGGCAGAGAAAAGTTTAGCATAGTAAATTAGTGTATAAGTAATTATAAAGGATAGGCTTAATTGTTACTATTGTAATGCTAGAAGTATAAGAAATAAAATAGATGACTTTAGAGCACTGGTAGGAATGGAGGATTTTGATATAATGGGAATAACTGAAACATGATAAAATATTGATGATTTTGATGACAGAATTTTTTTTGAAATACAGAGTTACAGGCTATTCAGTAGGGATAGAGTATTGAAGAGGGGAGGAGAGCGGCTTTATATGTAAAATGTGAGTTACATCCTGTTGAAGTTGAGGATATCAAATATAATAGCAAAGAGATT